TGAAACGAAAACCAGGTTGCGAAAATCCAAGTTTTAGTTGGCGCGCGAAAGACCGCGAAGGCTCCGCGAAAGGCGCGGCGAGTGATGGGTTTTCGGGAAAAAGAATTTAGAACAGCCCCCATTTGAGGGATCCACCCTCGTTCAAGATGAACGACGATGAATGAGCAGTTGAAATCTGAAGGTGACTTTGCAAGCGGTTGATGGAGCATCTTGAACAGCCCCGTCGTAACAAAACGCATGGAGCGATCTTGCTGCATCTTGCTGGCCTGATAAGATTTGTGGAAAAAGGGTTTAGGGTTTAGGGGTGGGTGTTTGCTAAACACGTCCTCTACCCAGACCCGTAAATGAATCCAAATCATGGAGCCTCTCAGCAATCCCCTATTTTCCTCAACTTTGTACTGGAGGCAATTTTTGGCGGTTCCATTTTCTGATCCTTTAGGGGGTCTGAGTAGAAGCGTGAGCTTGGGTTTTCAATGCTCCGCTGAGGTTCCCCCGGGTGATTGTGAAATGGGGCTTCCCCAGCATTAGGGGTACCTGGACTAAGGACTATAATATCTCGGTTTTCAGGGGATTAGGGTTGAGAGTATATTGGGGTCCCCCCATCATGCAAACTACCAAAGCTGCCAGGGATGGCCTTTATGGCCTTTTTCGGGACACCCTTTTTTTACGGTAGAACTGCTCTAGCTCCAAATTGAGACACCCGAACTCTCACTATCTTCCTTACCAATGAAGCTATGCACCTTGGCAGACCTTTGATGCCAGTATGGGGAGTATTGCGGACTGTCATGTGAGGATTTGGTGGCCCTATTGAGGAGTATAAAGAAAATTATCTGAGAAATCATCATCTTTAGGACTTCTGGGTATTCAAGCCCTTTGTAGAATGAGGTTCATCATGTTGGATATTGCCCCGGTAAGGGCCCAGAGCAGAAGTTCCCCAATAGGTACAAGCGCGCCTGTATCATCCCCACATGATCCCTACATCACCCTGCATATACAACCAAAAGCACCGCTGCTAAACCCTCAGCCCTCTACGCCTGTATATGCTTTGTACGGTTGATGAAGGAATTCTTGACCAGCCTACAACCTAAAGCCCAAGGAAGTACAGTAGCTAAGGGTTACTAGGTGGTGCAAGATTCCTACACTAACAGTAGTATACGTTGCTAGATGAGGCATGAGCTGTTCCACGCCAATGGGCCCGTGGAAAGCGCGGAAGGCCGGGGACGCTCAACATCTCGGGGCTGTGGAAACACCACACAAACCTGAAGCCTTCGCCCCGAAACCCTAAAGGTTGGATTCTAGGCCAAAGTGAAGGCGGGAAGTATGTACCTGCAATTTCTTCCGGGGTCCAAGGCTAGGTATAAATCGCGAAATGTCAGGAGTTAGGTGTGTGTTTTGTGTTTCCTGGGTTTGCTTAGGATACAGCAGATAAGATGACACGCAGGTTCACCCCGAAGTGGCGTTTGTTTTCCCAGCCGCCTCCGAGAATGCTCCAGAAGCCCAGTAGTGTGGACAAGCACTATTCTGACGGCTGTCCAGGCGCGCCAACTGCCGAGGCAGGTGTTTAGGGTTGGGCACGGTTGAAGGGTGATAGGCTTTTTGGGTTGAGGAGTTTTGGGGGTTTCAGAGCTCTTGAGTTTCATGGTTTCTGAGTTGGGGGTGGTTTCAGGGTGGGAGATTCGAGGGTTCGATGCTCTAGAGTAGGGTAAAGTTTCGGGTTTTCAAGTGCCCTGAAAGCCTTGTCGTGCTTGCATATCTTTTATCCAATAGCACCTGAGGCCCGAAGATCGAAGCGCATCCAATCTGTCAAACCTACTACAATAGATCCCATCCGTAACTCGGGGGGAAGTCCGTGGCAGAAGTCTGAACCATACTTAACTCCTGGGCTTTGGTTATTACAGCCTGGACAGTGCCCGCACTCAGCAGTAGTAATGAGAACAGAGCTATATACAGACAATAACCCCCTGGTATACACTGTTATTGGGTGGGGACATAACCAAAATGACGACACAGCTACCTCTAACCCCTTTAACTTTAGGGGGCTTTAGAATCGGGCCAATAACATGTTGGAGGACTTAGGGTGTCTATCGTTAAGTTGTTAGCCAGAGGTGAATCTAGTGCGTCCATAATGGGGCAGCTAGAGGAAGGCTGGAACTTCCCCAATCCTTCAAATAAACCCTATAAACTTTAAATCCAAAGATAAGTTGCCTAGCCTAAACCCTGAACCCTATAAACCCTCATCCCTAAGCCCTAAACCGCAGCATGTCATCCGTGCTGGAGAGCCTCGGGGATATCCTTAGTGTGGCTGGAGGAGCGCCCGGCGCGAAAATTCTGAAGATAAGAAGACGCATACAGGGTTTATGGCTTAGGGTTTGGGGTTAAAGGTTTTAGGGCTTAGTGTTCGGGCTTTAGGTTTCATGAGTGGGGTGACTTTCCAGGCCATCAACGCCCTTAGCCCATGACCCTTGCTGGTCCTCTGACCCTCAACATTTAACGTTTAGCCCCGAACCCCAGGGGTCATGAGCCTAAATCCTTTATCCTTGCCTATCCCTCAATCCTCAACCCGTACCTTCTAACCCCTTAATTTTCCGTCCCCTAAACCCTAAACATCACAGTGGAGTCCAGAGGCACCGCTTGGTGGCCTGCCTGGTGGTGCAAAGGCCTGGGGGTTGCCTAGGGCCTCATGGGAGCCACTAGGGTTCGAGGGTTTCAGGGTTGTGGGTTTAGGGTTCAGGGTTTAGGGTTTAGGGTTTGGGCTTAGGGTTTAGGGTTTGGGCTTAGGGTTGAGGGTTTGGGGTTTATTGTTGAGGGCTTGGAGCTCCATGGGAGCTACTCAAGATTATTCTCGCTTCGAGGCTCGGGGAACTCGGAAAGTAGGTGATAAAGCGGGCTATAAGCACGCCAACCCCACTTGCGGGAGCATAACTATAATACAACCCCACTTATGACCTACTTACTATGCTCCTCAAGCCTTCAAATATCCTCGCAGAATCCTTAGTTGAACCCGACGGAGGCGCGAATCCTTTTGTAGAAGCTTTGTTGCTACAAAGCAGAACGGGGTATGGCTCTTCAAAATAGATAAGAAGTTCTGACTAGGGTTTCGGGTTTATGTGGGGTTAGGGTTTGGGGTGTAGGGAACAGCTTTTAGGCAGCATTTGTAAATGGTGTTAGTTCCTGTTGTCCGAACTTCTTGCAACTTAACAGTGGAAGAGCCGTGGAGGATTTGCAAAGGAGTCGACTAGTATCTGAAAACCAGCCTAGAGGGGGCAAGGAGTTGCGACAATGCTAAAGCACTCACGAACATGTACACAATGTCCGGATCCCTCATAGCTACACGTGAAGTAAGGTTTTCATTGCCCAAGAGTGTGGAACACACGCTACCTCTTATCCACTGACTGGAACTTCGGCCATACTTCCGCCCCGCGGTTTGGGGATTAGGGTGTAGGCATTAGGGGGATTAGGGCCGATTAGGGTTTGGGCACTGGGGTTAAGGGTCTAGGGTTTAGGCATTAGGGGTTAAGAGTTTAAACCCGTAGGACAGCTCGCTGAAAGCCACAGCCCCGCTGCTGCTGACCAAGCAGACGGCCAAGAGGCTCATCCACCAGGCCTACGGGTTTAGGGTTTAGGTATGTATTGGGGTACTGTAGGGATAATGGAAAAGAAAATGGAAACTACTATAATGGGGGTTAAATGGGGTTTAGGGTTTAGGGCTATATATTCACCAGTAGTATACAGGGTTTAGGGTTTAGGGGTGAGGGTTTAGGGCTACGCTCCAGGAATATATAGGGTTTAGGTTTTAGGGTTCAGGGCTCAGCGACCAGGCTTGGGTCAATGCAAGAAACTCAGGGTTTCATGGGATTTTGTAGGGTTACATGGGGGTTGATAGGCTTATATAGGATGACCGCAAGAAACTTAGGAAACTTTGGGTTATATAGCACTATAGGTGTTATAAGGTTATACGGATTTCGTAGGGTTCTATAAGCATAAAGGGTTTTTAAGGATCATATACGGATTATGGGGACATTCCCCCAACAATGGAGATTCACATGAAAGCATGCACAATAAAACGGGAACAAAGATGATTTCGGGATTCTATGCGGGCCACTATAAGGACGCATTCCTTCATTCCTTGCTAGCCAAAGGTAAGTCGAGGGTATAGGGCTTCAGAGGGCTTGGGGCTTCTGCGTTGGGAGGCTGCAAATCCAGGGTCCAGGTATGGGCTTTAGGGCTTAGGGTTTAGTAGGACGTCCAGGGTTCAGGTATGGCATGAGTTAAGCCCTCGCTTGGCCTTTCGGGTATTGAAATTGTCCCGGATCAGTTTCATAAGGACCCTATATACCGAATACCAAAGGGACTCTAAAGGCCAGGCATTCAGTAGAGTCAGCAACCATACTGCTTCCAGAATTTAGGAGACGCCACTCAGCCCATCCGCTGATGCAATCCCAAAGCTCAAACTCTAAATCAGGGACTTAGGCTCAAATCGATGCAGGACATATGGTTCGGGATATTGAATGAGCGGGACATGCGGGACTTGAGGACTTTGGCGTTGAGGGTTTGGAGGCTTGTTGTTTGAAGCAGGGTGATGGTTGAAGGTGGCGGGCAGGTACTCTCCCCCAAACTAATTTGTAACCCCATAATACAGCCTCCTAGACAGTACGGGGTTCCAGGGCCTGTTTGGGGGTTCCGTGCTAATTGGGAAAGGGTAAATGGTGCAAGAGGAGGGGCCTTGATGGGATTCAGGTTTTAGGTTTTAGGATTTACGGTGGAGAGCTTTGTATCAGTGGTGGTTAGAAGTACTACCTGGACGTTCAGGGTACTTCGTTCACGCACTTCTTCAGAGGGAGGGTTGAACATGATTGCGTATCACCCTCTTAATCCCGATACCATCCCTATGAAGAAGTCTGACACTATTTTTGGAAAGGCCCCCCAACCCTACACCAGTATAACTTATACTTACCCTAAATCCTTATAGAACGCCTATGAAGTCTTAACCGATTTTACAGGGCCCCCAAACCTACCTTGGTAACCCTAAGTTCTACTTCTCACTCCGACCTGTCAAAGCAGAACAGGCTGAGCGCGAGGAGGCAGAAGCGACGGCTGCCGCCTCCCCTCCCACTGTTGAGGCCTGGATAGGGTTCAGGGTTTGGGGCTTGGGGTTTAGGCTTCCGGGCTTCAGGTTTAAGATTTCGGGCTTACGGTTTTCTAGGGAATGAAACATCACCTGGAAAGCTAAGGGAAGTGACATGGAAACTGGGGTTATATGGGCTTATTTAGGGGGTCATAGGGAGTGGGTTCAGGCTTTGAGGATGTAGGTGTCCTCGACCAATTGGAACCCTAAACCTAACACAGTCCCAGAGTACGAAGTTCAAGATGTGACAGGGTTTGTGGATCTATTTGGAGAGTTAGAGGGACATAGTAGGCAGGTTAGTGATTGGACAACAGGGATATTTCTACGGCTTAGGGGGGTTATATGCATACTTTGTAAACCCCCCTAGCTATGCAAGTAGTCAACCCTAAACCTTAAACCGCGTAGAGCCAGGGCTCTTCTGAGGTTCCCGTCTAGCAATGTCTCCCTTGGATGGAGTTTCCTCATGTGCCCCTGACAACCTAGATCCTCCATCTACCCTCTATCTACCGTAGTTGCCGCTTCAGGGTCAGGGTTCAGCGTTTAGGGCTAGGGTTCCTTCCCTGGACCCTCAATCTACCCTCTAGACACCCTAAATGCCCACCATTCGGGACCATGTACCCTATTTTCAGGGTAGCTAGGAGGGTACTGGAAGATGAATGAATTTTCTTAGTATGCTGCCGGCTCACGTTTCTTTGTATACGTAGAAGCCCACGTACCTGAAAAGTAGGTTTCCTGGGTTGTCGGAAATTTACATATATATATATATGCTATGTATATATATATGTCCTCGCACTTGAAACTATATATGTAGGGACAAGGGGGCTCATGACCCACTGTATTGGTAGCTGGGCTTCTAGGGCATATTTGTGTGTAAACGAGGAATGTATTCTGATGTATAGGGGTTCTGTGGGGCTAGACTGTGATTATACAGGGACATTTCCCTAATAGTGGATAACCAAATGGAGCAGCACATGGAAAAGTAAATGGACGCTGGGTTTATATAGGGGATGGTTATAGGTAGCATTACCAATGTTCTTGGGGTCCTTGTCAAATTATGGTATAGAGCGCCTCGAATCGACCTCAAAGTCCAATTGGCAAGTATGTAGGCTCTGTTGCAAGTGAGCAGTGCCTCAGCACCGCATAATTACAGTTTAGGCATTCACGAAGGTTCAAGACTTAGGGTCAGACAGGCTTTTTTTTCCTAGCAAAGCAACGGTCACTACTGGCATTCTTCACATGCTGTAGAGCTACTCCGGGCAATCCCTTTAAGCTTTAAACTGTGACTCTTAAGTGTCTTAACTAAGTAGGGAAATGTCAGTCCTGCACCTGATTGACAGGCGGTTCGACTGGAGCCGCGCCGCAAGGCAACTGGGACGCATTTTTGGGGGGCTGCGGGCAAAAACATACATTCTTAACGCATGTGGTAGGTCCAAAATATTCTCCTTTCCTCACGCACATGTCACCTGAACTGCTTGTCGGGAAGTCACGCAGCCGTGACAAAGATAGCCTGGACTGTCCACACAGGACTTTTATTATGACTATCAGTGCGTAATCCTTCAGAGGTTTAGGGCTTAGAGTTATTTCCTACAGGTCCCTGGGTCCCCTGAGGGTACCCTATTCTAAGAGACCCTGATTCAGACCCGTGCATAAGTTGGCCTCGCCTTGCCAGCAAAGTAGGCCAAAACGTGAGTCCTTCAGAGTCCAGTTTGAGTTCGCGCCTAAACCATCCCTCCATCTACCCTGGATATACCCTAAATGCCCAATATTAGTATCATCTACCCGTATGTAGGCATACATGGAGGCCCCTGGTTTTCTTTGGGATGTACAGCAGGGCTAGCTTCTCAAAGCTGAGGCGGTGTCTCAGTAAAAACAAAAGTTTCTTTAATCTGTTTAGAGTTTAGGGTGAAGAGCTTTCAGAGAGGATTTGGAGCGCCACGCACAGTCTTCTCAAGGTTGGAGAGGCAAAGCCTCCAATCCTCCAGCCCTGGGTGTGGAGGAACCTCCTTGAATTATACGTTTTTTGCGTACTGTTTTACTCCTTCGTGTGTTTCTTCATGTCTTTTTGTTTGTTTGTTGATTTTTCGATTCCTTTGTTTGTTTCTTTGTTTATTTGTGTACGCTTTTTTTTGGTAGGCATGTTGCTCATTTCATCCCCAAAGAAGAGCTGAGCCACAAATAACACAGACATTCAGCCCCAAAACCTAGGTTTAGAGTAGGGTTTAGGGATCGATGCAACTAAATCCCCCCATCCTGAACCTTGAACCTTGCATAACCCCTATAAACTCTACAACTCATACCCCAAGCACAAGGCCGTAATCTCAGACCAAGGCGCGTGTCAAGGAGGCGCTCAACCAGTCTATGTCAGACTTATCCGCTCCTTGGCTGAGGCGGAGTGTTTTCGTGTTTAGGGCTTAACGTCGGAGACAGCAAGATGGTACCAGCGGTAGTAGTAATTGGCAAACTAAAACTTCCCAACTCGGGCTAAAGGCTACGGGCTAATGACTCAGGACTCTTTCAAACGTGGGTCCATCTGCAAGGGTGAAGTCAGCGAAGTCTGATCTCAATGACCGAGGTGCCCAATCTCCTGATTGTCTGTGGATTGTTTCTGCGCAAAGTTTTTGCGCAAAGCCTTGTACTTTTGCTGACAGGTTCGGCTCGTTGCCAGGATGTCTTACAGGCCTTAAAGCCCATGTGGCAGTGTGCCCATCTGATGTGCAGGAATGTGCGACAGCATCTTCTGCTACGGCACAGAATAATCACCTGCGTATCTTCGTTCCCTTCACGCTAGGTATCATAGAGACAGGGCCTTGAGGAAATGCTGAGAGCAAGTGGTTATATACAATCTCAGAACACATGCAGCTTGAGAAGAGGATGTTTGGAAGTTGTTTGTGAAGTCTGAGATTTAGAAGCCTGTAGGGCCGCATATGTTTGTGGTAAACTGCTGGCTCCCAGATCAAACTGCAATCACGCACTTGGCGGGTATGCCAACCCATTCAATGATGTTTCCGGGTCACGGATATCGGTTCCTTCAAGCGAGCCGTGCTTGCGTATGGAGATGTGCTACCAAGGCATGGATGCCTCAGAACCGAGGCATGTCACAATTCGCCTCCGCAGTAGGAACTTGCAGACTTTTGCAGGAGGAAAACAGGCAGCTCCGAGCAAGGCTTCAGTCACTTCAATGGCCACCGGTGACTTTATTTCAAGTTCGCGGTCAGGTATACAACTTGCCTTATGTGGCAGACGCAAAACAGACACCCTTTTGTACCAGTTTGTCGTGGTCGCTGCCGCTCACCGACAGGTTGAAGTACTTGGCTGGCTTCTTCGATGGCGACGGATGTGTGCATCATGAAACTCGATTATCCGGATGCAGTTTGAGGATTGGTCAATCATTTGATGCTGCTGAAGTGCTTATGTTGTTTCAGTCTACGTTTGGCGGCAGCATCGGGCGCCTGTATGATGGAGCAGGCCTTCGCAAGCCCTGCTTGCAATGGAGAGTGAGCGGAAGTGCAGCTCGTCGTGCTCCCCACTTTCTGCTGCCATTTAGTATTGTCAAGCAAAAGCAGCTTGAATTGGCGTGGAACTGGCCAAAGACAAAGAGTGACAGAGAAGGAGCGTTTCGGCAGCTGAGCTGCTTGAAGCAATATGATTCAAGCACAGAGGGGTCATGCAGTTGGGAGTATTTCGCTGGGTTTTTTGATGCCGAAGGCCACGTGCGTTGTCTAGGAAAAGCTTCGCTTCAACTATCTGTGTGCCAAAAGCACGTTACTGTTCTCGAGTGCTTGTGCAGGTTCCTATTGCGCGAACTTCCTCACAATTTTCGTATCTCTCGGCACGTTAGCAAGAACACGCTGGTCATAAGCACAACCCCTATTTGCAAGCAAGTTCTTCAGAAGTTCTTGGGGGTCCGGAATGCTGCGCAAATCAGACCTCGCGACGCTAGCTTTAGACCTCACTCCACAGAATGCCACCATCATACGAGCCGCCATGTCTGAGTTGTTTGGTAACCAGAGCTTCGGGAAGACGTTGGACGAAGCAGGTCTGTCGAGAGCACAGCACATTCGCGAGATGCAGAGGCAGGCTTCTCGGGCTGGAAGAAATGGGCACACGCAACAAGCTGAGGAGTTGCTGCTTAAGGTTGCTCGCTTGAAGCGTGAGCACGTCTTGCTGCAAGCTCAGCTCGAGAACTGCCGCTTGCATCAATACACAAGAGGTCTGCTGGGTTTACAGCAGGAAGCTTGCGTGCCTGCCATCTTGCCCACGAACATGAAAAAAGTGTCCTTCGGCTCCCACTTATGAACATGCAATGGAACTAAGTCGTCATGAGCATGGCGTACCTGACTTGTGCGTCTCCACGCAGTGGACGCTCAGACGAATTTCCATGAGCGCTATATCTTTTTGTATATGTGCCCTATCAGTGTGCAAGGTAGCTCCGAGCAAGATTGGGATCAGGAGACAGGCCTTCTATGACAAAGACTCCCAAATGCAGAAGACGAAACCGCTTTGCCCTAGTTTCAACAAACGTCATTCACTGGTAAATCCCAAGGACATGGGCGCGTCCCAGAAATGAAGTGCCTCCACATGTCCCGTCGAATATTCGTCGTTAGTATAGATTGCCAGAAGAGGGCCGGTGAGTTTGCGGAACGCAAAACCTAGAACCCACATAATTAAACCCCATTCTCTAAACAAAACCTTCCCACAAATAGATATATGTATATACACATGAATAGTCACATACATCCACATGTAAGCCCATCAAAGAGCCTGATATTTCGAGAACATCGCACTTGCTGGCTTTTTCCTCCCGCGGGCTTTCCTCCATGACCCCTGCAGTGTTTACTGTGTAGGTTGTTTCAGGTTTAAGATCAGAAGCTTAGGACTCAGGGCTTCGGCAAGAGTATCTACCTGACCTGACAAGTTTCTTAAATCCTAAGCCCGCAAGCCACAAACCCTAAATCCTAAGCCCTACAGCCCTGAGCCTAAACCAACACGCAAAACCCAATGAGCGTGAAGCCCGCACCTCACTGGCCAAGGACAAGGATTCGGATGACAGTTCGGCACCAAGATTTTGCTAGGCGGTTGGGTGAGAATGGAGTGGATCCGCAAACTAGTCCTTGTATGACCCCCAGTAACAAGCCCTATATATAACCCATATGCCTTCATCACCTACTTGCCACCTGTAACCTCTGCAATGGAACACTTGGCTATAGCATGTTCAGAGTTTGTTGGGGGACTCAGTCTTTTGGCCGTGCTCGTTGTACTGTCTAGGGATACTGGGGTTCAGGGGCTTTTTATTCAGGGCTTTGGCAGTTCTAGGTTCGGCTTTGCATATTTGTGCCTTGTGTTCAGGGCCAGAGTTTAGATTCAATTGGGCTTAGGGCTTCGGGTTGATGTAGGGGGATTGTTGTGTCAAGGTGTTAGTCAAGCTTTTAGACACATCCTGTGTTTGGTGTGCATTTCCGGGAAAAGTCGAAGGTCCTCGTCTCAGACTCTTGTACTTGTGAGCTGTTTCATGCTGGGAAGCATTTTGGCTGTGGGGCCTCAACATTGATGCTTAGAAAGAATCCAGGTAGGGCCATCTTCTACAGCCTTGGAACGCAGCCTTAGTATTGAAATCCTTCATCCTGTGCAGTGTGGAGTCTTGATCAATATCAACCTTGCACCTCGAACCTGTGAAATCAGCACACTTAATTAAGGCACTGCATAATATACCTGAAGCAATAGCAAGATTGTGCCTGTGATTACATTTTACTGCATAATTAAGCTGAATATCCTACAACCTTTTTCTCATTGTTGAGGTCCCTATCCTACCCTGGGCCCTAACACCTAAACCCTATGCCCTGTAACCTTCAACCTGAGACGAGAAGTGCTCCCCAGGTGCACGGTCTGACTTAGCCGATACGGGCCAGGTCCTCAGACTTACTGGTGGTTAGTAGGGAGAGGGAAGGCGGGAATATAGTAATCGCTATGTAATCCCTGAATATGTTCCCTCATTTCCGGCTCACCACCAGTAAGCAGACGCAATGAAAGCCCAAAAACGGTTTAGGAAATATAGGGGATATACTGGGATATATAGGGTTGTGTTAGGGTATATAGGTTTTTTCGGGAAGATAGGGGTCACATTAGGGGAGGACCTGAATCTATGCTACCTTTCCTCTTTCTAGTTCTTGGGTAGGCTACTGTTCCATCTGTCCCGTTTCTGAAGTTGTACTTTGGTGGCTCTAGACTGATTGCCAAGGTTTCCTGGCGGGTGGTTGATTGAGGGTTTTACTCCACAGGTTGTCCAAGTCTTTGGGGCAAGAGCCATCTTCAGGCTGGGACCCAAGACAGGTGAAGACATATTGTTCTTGATTACTTTGAACTGATACCCATAGGTATACGAACGCATCGGAGACTGTTGGGAAGTTGGCTTAGAATAACAGACCCTGGGCCATCATTCTCCCAGCCCCTCCAAGTTCTTGTTCCATCAAGTCTAGCTTGTTCTACGCCTTCTAGATCGCCGGTCTCAGTTAGGATGTTTCTCGGGGTCTCATGCTTGGCTCTCGGCTTTCGTCATTCCTTCACCATGTAAAGATCCATTCCCGGATCTATCCGGATACTAGCTTTGGGTTTCAGTTGCCGTAATCCCATGCTCTGAAGGCAATTTTCAATCCTAAACCTAAGCACCACGTCTGAAACGCAAACCGCATCCATCCAGTGAATGCGGCCTTGTCCACGTAGTAGTACTGTCAATAAAGAAGATCTCGCACCCTCATGTGCTTCGTACCCAGCGCTTCCAGTAGTTTTGATAGCCCGAGTGGTGCGAGCTTCCATTCACCATAAGTTTACTCCAACTGAGTAGTATCTTTATCTGGCATCCTACAGTTCCCAATCAAGCAACTGATTAATTCAACCAACAGAAACACTCCTGAATGTTTGTCCCAACTACTTTCCGCCGAGGTCAAGCGGGCAGGCGCGCAATGCTCGTATAGTGGTTAGAGGTTCTCAAAACTTTCAGGGAACTCCAAGGATCTTATCTCTGGTTGGCAAGGAATGGAATGTGAAAATTGAAGCTGATCCATTTTTGATTGTTTTCTGGGGTGGACTACAGTTACAAAAAGGATCCGTTCCTTGATTCCATTCATTGTTAGTCAGAGACAAGAGGAGGGACCTGTAAGGACTTCCTTCCTACTCGCACAAAGAATTGGAATTTTGAACCGAGCTCGAGAAGCCTGTGTTCACTTCTTCTCAGTCTTAGATGGAGGATCAGTGGACTGAGTAAGCATATTTTTGAAGGACCTACCTTCTAAATCCCCCAGTTCCTCCAAGTAGATGACCTCTTCACGCTTTCTTCGGTGGCTTTGAGGAGTTAGCCGCATTGCCCGATGAAGAATTTC